TATGGTGATGTGACTCTCCTTCTATCCAGCGTTAACGGCTGCAGTGTACTTGGCACGTCAGCAGATACGAAGGCTGCAACCAAGGCAGAGCCAGTGCCTGTTCCTGATCCGGAGGCAGAGCCAGTGTCTGTTCCAGAGCTTGAGCTCATGTCGGTTCCGGACCCAGTGTTTGTGGCTGTGTTTGTGTCTGTCCTTGTGACTGTTTCTGTTCTATCTTCTGTTCCTGAGCCGATGTCTGTTCCCGAGCCGGTGTCTGTTCTCGAGCCGGTGTCTGGTCCTGAGAGGGCTTCACCGCCCTGGCCACCTGAGGGGTCTGCACCGCCCTGGCCACCCGAGGGGTCTTCACCGCCCTGGCCACCTGAAAGCTCTGCACCGCCCTGGCCACCCGAGAGGTCTTCACCACCAGCTGGCCACCCGAAAGGTCTGCTCCGCCCTGGCCACCCGAGGGGTCTTCACCGCCCTGGCCGCCCGAGGGGTCTTCATCGCCCTGGCCTGGCCGCCCGAGGGATCTGCTCCGCCCTGGCCGCCCGAGGGGTCTGCACCGTCCTGACCGCCTTATGGACTTTGTGTTTCGTCCTGGCCGCCCGATGGACTTTGTGTTTCGCCTGTGTCTCCCAGAACTAAACGTTTTGTCCCTCGCACCCCACCCTGGTCTGTTCCTCCCGTCCCGCCCGCCATGGTCTGTCCCTTCCGAGCTCCTTCCTCTCGCTTTTAGCTGACTGAATTTGTTGCCAGATTGCATTGATGTGTTCGAAGCATCCTGAGAACCCTTGAATACCCGCTTTTTGAACTGAAGTGTCAATGAAACCATTCTTTAATAGGTAGGTGGACAATCTCTGAGCAATAATGCTGAAGAAAATCTTACCTTCAATGGTTGATAGTGAACTGACTGATGCTTGTAGCATCTTTTTCTTTAGGCATAAAGACTCTATCTGCTCTGTGCCATGCTCAAGGTACAACCTGTTTTTCCCATGCCACTTTTATCAATTTCCACAGAATTCTCAGAACTCCTGAAGCACTCCTGTGAACTCTGTACGGAACTCCATTAGAAGATGATGAAACCCTTGCCTTTCTCACAGCCTGCTCTACCTCTTTCCACGTAGGTGGACAGACCTCCATTTGGTATTATATACAGTATATTATAGCACAAGTAAAATTGAAAAAAGGGAGAAAAAGGCAACTATCCAGTATCCATTGATAATGTAACTAGAAAAACAAGAAAAATTAATGTTTGGTTTCCATTTTTCATTTTTGCATTTGCAATGTATGGCCCGAAAATTTAATTGTGAACTTTTTGCTATTTTTGCAACTTTTATATTGCAACCTTTGAATTAGCTATAGTAGTTTGGGGTAACATTTTTGTAGTCTTTAAAAAACAACATTTAAATAAAAATGAAAATTATAGTTTAATTGTTTTCTCTTAGCTTACAACATTGTCAAATTCGTCTCGTTCATGTGTTTGTTCCTGTGTATTTAAGGCATTTTACTTTTTCTTTAGGGAGTTTCTGTTCATGTGATTTTGATATTATTGATCTCTCTATTGATTTTGGATTCTTAAAAAAGCTTCAACCAGATTCTCAAACTTTCCTCTCTGAAATTCCAATTTGTGTCATTATAGTGATTATGTGATAGTGCTGTCATGGTCCTTGCCTTTTTTTCTTATGCAATGATAAATGTTTCAGTATTTTTCCGACTACTACAGGCCTACTTTCTTTTATGGCTTTGCCCATTAACCTTTCAGACTTTGCCCTGAAAGTCTAACTTCTTTTAACTTTGGAATTTTTATATGGATGTGTGCCAAATATCTGAATTATAGTCAATCTTATTTCAGTAAAGCAAAGGTAACAAGGTTGGAGAAGTCCATGGCAACAGATATAGATTTACTGAAATAAGTATTTGATTTAATATATATATATATATATATATATATATATATATATATATATATATATATGATAGTAAAGTTTATATAATACTTTTACAATCTTTACAATTATAATCATGAAAACGAAGGAGACATTTTACAGAAAAAAAGATGGTGTGAAGCATCTGCCCTCTTGTGGCTGTAAATTTTACTGTCACATGAAAACTACAATGAAATGTGTCTCGTTTTGCCACAAGAGGACAGTAACCTCGCGTAACCTCCACAGCTGCACTGACTTGAGTAAATACAGTGTTTCTTAATAGCTTCTTTAATTATCAATTCCAAAAAACGTTGTTTTTTAATAGTGTGGATGCTTTTACTGATATGGAACAATTAGCCTAGTACAGTGCTGTTGTAGTTCACGTAGATAGTGTGGATCAAAATGTGAGGAGTGTTTGGGGACAAAATAAAAATGTATATTAAATTGAATTGTTCGATCTGTATAAGTTGGTGTGTGTTCGTCGTCTCTGCAACCTTCCATCTGGCTGGACAAACACTGGAAAAAGAAGCAGCTCTTAGCTCTTCTCAGTCTCTTTGACTGCTTCCACAATTCACCCACAAGATGGAGACTTGTGTGTGTGTCCCAATCCGACAAACAAATGATTTCATATATTTATTATTCTAGCTGAGGCTGATATTAATTTTGTTTAGGGGGTAATTCAGTATTTACGTTGGGTTTATTAGTTGTTTATTTGTAAAAACAACTTGATAATGATTCCAAAAAGCTAGTTTGTGCCAGATGAATTATCAAATACCCTTGTCTCCTTTTAAACCTGCATAGTGCCATGTTGTTGCTCATAAATAAATGTGGAATTTAATGCCAGATGTTGCCCAGTCTGGTTAATTCTTAAGGTTTTTCTGTGTTAGTGGCAGAAACAATAGTGTGGGTGCTCTTCATAGAGAAGGGGGCAGATGGGGTCCCCTCTTCAAACAATGTGCATTGGATGGGGGAGGGTGTGATGCATTGAAAGTCATCCTTGACGAGATATCGCCCTTTCACTAGTGTGACAGAGGGGGGAAACTGCACAGGTTTATGTGAAAGCTCATAAACCCATATTACAGGAATGGAGAGCTTTAGCATCCACCATCTGTCGGAAATTAACATTTGCGTGCAATGAGTTGCTGGTAAACAGAATAGGATTTTTGTTTTGCTTGTTTCATGGTATTTAAATATAGACTTATTTAGTTTTTTTTTCAGATTGTGTGTGTATATATATATATATATATATATGGTGCATATGAGTGTATCACACAGATATATTTAGTTTATTCTTAAGGAAAAGTACACTTGTATATATATTCTAGGATTAGAGTAGAATAAATGAATTAAATATATTTGGCTTGTATTTAGTTCATGCAGCTCATGAGGTTCCTCTTTTTTTTTCTGTGACATCTGCTTATATCTGTTAAATGTAACACTGATAAACCATAGCATATGTGAACATGCTCTGTGATTCTAGTCTGACTACATCCTCAATCCCATATCTGTATTCGGCTGGATCTGTGGAAGCACACCATTTTCAAGCAATATCATGTATCCTAATTCTCACATTACTAAAGCTTTTATAGTTTAAATAAAATAATCACCATTGTATTTCCTGAGTAATGAGCTTTTCTAGAATGTGACTGGTAGAGTAAACAAATCAACTGAATTTGATTGTTTCACATTGCATTTCATGGGTGGCCAGACCTTAAATGAACACAAGTGTTTTATAGGCATTTATTTGACTAATTTTCCCACTTTAAATAGGAGTCAAATGTCTCAGTATCGGTTTGCCACATACCTCCACTCGCACTCAGCATAGGCCTATGTATTTCAGATGACACTGGCACACTGCTGAGTTTTTCCACAGAAATGTGAAATTGCGTGAGGTGGCTCTTTGTGTTCATGCAGTAGACGGCGCAGCATCACCTCGATGCGAATCTGGAATATAGAGAGGTGCTCGCCTCCGGCCCTGATGTGTTGACACAGGAGGAGTGTGAGTATGTGACAAGAGGATACAGAGACTCTTACTGGGCACTGAGGACACTATACTATTTATATTTATATACGTTTGAACAACATCCTTCAGTCCATCCAGTTAACATCCATTCATTTAAACTCAATATTATGATTTAAGGGATTTTTATTAGTAATTTAAATTCAAAGATGTCCAAAATTGTGTAACTATTTCTTTTTATCGTGATTGTTGCTTAAAATTGTACAGATGTCAGTTTTAGTTCAGTATTTTGTTCAGTTTTTAAAGCTCAAATACTGCAATAATAATAATAATAAGGTAAAATGAATGAAATAAATATGAAAAAATAAAAATTACATTAAAACTACATTAAAATAAAATAAAAATGATAATAAATAGTTATAGTAAATAATAATAATGATAAAAAGTTATTGTTAATAATATATGATAATAAAATTACATACATGTAGGCCTACATATGTAAGTATATATTCAAATATATGGCTATATATATATATATACAGTATATATACACACAACATTTTGATAACAACAGCAATAAGGTCAAATTAAATAATATATATTATTATTATATAATATATAATAATAAAAGTAATAAAACAACATTAAAAATGAAATAATAATGATGATGATAATTATAAATAGTTATTGTTAATAATAATCATTAATAAAATCATAATGAAGATGATGAAAATAGGTATTGTTAATAATAATAAGACTACTTTAAAATATATCATACAAAAATAATATATAATTTTTAAACTATATAGCCTATATATATATAGCCTACCAACAACAACAACAATAATAATATGCTAATTATACCATAATAATCACATACTGTGGTATAATTCTTGGGTGTTAGACAGAGACGAGCTGCGCATTTAGAGCTACGACTTTTATTTTTCACAACCCTGTGCCTATGTTTCAATGATGCTCTCGCATTTTTATCATCACCACCTCCTCCTGTCTGTGTTGTCATGTGACAAGCAGGATTTATACTTCGCTTTGCAGGAGAAAATCAAATCTTGACCAATCGCAGCTCGAGGGGGGCGTGTTGGTTCCTCCACATTTGACAGGCGCGCACTCGGCTTCGCATGACGTCACCCCGCGGCTCCGCGCTCCAGCAGCAGAAACGCGCAAAGATGCTCTGAAAGCAAGACTGCAGCATCTCCGAGTCAGAGCCTACAAAAACATCGCATCTCCTTCAAGCGCTCGTCCAGCGCTTCAACACCGTCCAGCTCTATCCGCAGGGGTTTGCCCACCTGCATGCGGGATCCGCTGTTTTTCCCTTTCGACTCTTGTTCATTTCCCGTTGCTATTTATTATTCGCGCATCTTCCCAATTTTTAGCAGTGAATCTTTTGAGTTCTGCTGACCACTGAGGTCTCATATTGTTTTCAACTGGAGAGCGCCATCGCAGAGCCACGAGTGAGGACGTTTCCCACATCACTTGTTATTAATAATATCAGTACAGCCTGAGCAAAATTGAGCCACTGGATATCGATGCGTCTTACATTCTGTATCTAGGCTGCTACGGAGGATCGACGCACCCCAAACATTCATATCATCGTGGTTTCACATTCAGAAACAACATATCTGCGTATCGCGTATAGGAGAAACGAGAGCGAGCCTAAAGCTTCTTTATAAAAAATGATGGCCGGTGGGGCAGTGCAGCAAAACGGGATTTTCTCCAATCCGCATCATCACAATCAACCGCCGCACATGGAGTCTGATCCCCCCGATTCCCGCAAAAGACCCCTGGAGACCCCGACGGAGGCCAGCAGCACCAAACGCACAAACACAGGAGGTAAGAGCCAACTGCTGTCTACATCGGCAACTCACTTGGCAATGAATTAGCGACTCTTCCCAAAGACAAGTGCTTTGATGTAAGTCCCAATGGGAAAGATGAAAGCAAAATCGTTCGTGGCATATTCATTCATTTTTGATTTCCACGGAGCATCTCTCCATCTAACGTGGCCATGCTTCACCAAACGTGCATCTGAGATTTAAATTCATATTTACAGTTCGCGTCCATTTTAAGTGACCCTGAATTGGTGGTTGCGTCTACTTACGCACTTACGACAGTCGTTTACCAAACACATCCTCAAGTATTCCTAAATTAAAGGCTTATGTATGGAATAAACGGATTGTGTTTTCCTAAATATAGGCTAATATCATGAGCACGCACCCAAACATTAGAAAACATGTCTCGTTTACGCATCCTTTCTATCACCACAGATGACCTTGCTCTGGTGCCTTCAATCTATATATTCTATTATTTTATTAAATGGCCCTGAAAACTCAAATTATGCCTTATTTACCATTATTTACCTATTTACCATTTATGTATATTAGAATTTTTAGAATTTACGAATTTTATTACCATACTGCAATATTTAATATAAAATGCTTCTCAAAATTTGGTACACATTTGCTTGCTTCACCTGCATCACTGATATTCAAAATTTCAGAGTGCTTGAATGTGCACTCAATCCTTCAATATTTTACTGTAGTCTATTGTTTATAGCCTACTGGACCCATGCTTGCTTGTTTATTGTGCATTCCGGCAGACATGCCACATGAAGTTTTGTGTGCACTACACTCGTGTTATGCAGTCAAAAGTGTAAAACATTCCTTTTCTGATCTGTGATGATTAAATCCCCATTAAGCAGGAAATCTTATACATCTTATTTAGGACTTTAATAATAGCAATATTAACAATATATCTAAACTGATTGGCTGAGGTCAATATTTGTTTTCATTGAAAGTGCAAGAATCTCTTAAAGGGTTTAAAAAAAAGAAACACGTATTTGTAGTTAGAGTTATAGGGTTAATAATGGCGCATAGATGAAGTGATTGGCGGATGTTCACATGTGAAAGAATCGATGCTGAAAGCGTAATGAATTGTCAGTCAGAAGAAGCATGCTGGACCCGTGGGAGGCATAACCTGCAGGTCCATTTGCTCAAATGAAAAGACTTTGATGCTTAAGAGATCTAGGCTTCACTGGAATTTGTTTACCAAGGCAGATTATTCTAGGGGGTTCTCACAACTATGGAAGGGAGATTTTAATATTGTCATTTCCAGGCCTGCAAATGATACAGAAATTAATAAAATCTTGAAAAGTCATGGAAGGATAATGGACATTTCTATTGTTAATAATATACAATTTTGAGCTATCAAAAATCGCCGGTTAGAAATTACTCTTTGTCCATGCAATCTCTATAAAATGATTTTTAAAACCCTTAGCCAGTTACATAGTATATAATCTATGGAAATGTATTAACCAAAAGCTGTAGAATCCCGATTCTATTCAAATACTCATTTAATTTATTTCAATTTATTAAAAATAATGTATTTAATATTACAAAACTTTATTGAGTGTTGTAATATGACATTGTTGCCCTATGTTTAAGCAGATCTATTTATTTATAAATTAATCAATTTTTTTTAACATACTGGAAAATGATCAAATGCTGAAATATTTTTTTATTATTCTATCTTTAAGAGTTGGTAAGACATGTTGATAAATACGTGGAAGGGAATTTATATTTATATTAAAAGAGTCAAATTGTCACGTAAAAGAGATACATTTGGCACGCATTAACATGGTTGTGTTTCGTCAACATTTACCCGTAGTTTCCGCTTTGTGGTTCATATTTAAACACCAGCAGTTAATCTTTGGCCTAGAGTGAATCTGAACCATTTTTTGGACTATACTTTTGAGCATAGCATACTTCTAAGCTTAGCATACTCAAAACGGGAGAAGAAACTGACAACAACAACAGTCCTACAAAAATAATAGGTCTAATTTGTTTTCTCTCATTAAACATTTACTCGTTGATTTAAGGTTTTCATACACATAGGATTAGTTTCATATTTAGTTTGGACTTTTTTTAGCGGATTAAATCATGATGTGGCAGAAGACGGAGGGTTGTATCTTAAAGGCTGCCTGAAAAGAAAGTTAGAAATTAAGATGAAAAGTCAGTTGGCTTAAAAACAAGAATCATTTTCCTGCCAATTGATCATTAAGGCTTCGACTTCAAGTTAACCAAAGAGCCTCTCTCCACGTTCCCGAGCTGCCTCATAAGATGTAATGTTTTAATTTTGTAAATGGATGAACTGGCACAGGACAGTGCTTCCATTTACAAAAGGTTGTGGGGACCGTGACCCTCTGAGGCCGCAAAAAAAACGTGGAAGTGTGTGTGTATGTACAATCCTGTGTTGCTTTTACTAGGCTATATAAAGACATTTTCAGATGCTGCACAAGTGAGTAGCTTTTTTCGATTCTCTCGCTTGAGCATTTCTACCCGCAGGATGAGAAAATAGACGCAGGATCCGTCTTCGAAGGGGTTGTTACATAAACATGATTTGCCAGCTGTGTTTGAAGATTCAGACATTTATACGGGGGAGCAATAACCGTTCGTCGCTGTCGCCCACTTTGTTCGCTCACATCCTACAATGCAATACTCCCACCAGTTTTCAAATTAAGTGCACAGTTTTTTGATAGGCTCAGCAGAAAATACATTTAGGGTGCGCTGCGTTTTGCTCCCCCATCATTTGTTTGTTTCGCCTCTAATCATGATTATGGGTCGAGGCAATCGTTTTTTCCTCCTTACCGAGTCTTTCTTTCCCATCTTCCATCAATAGCGGCAAGTCATTGATTATCAATGCAACCCTCAGCCTATTGATCACCGTACGATCACTTCAAAATGAAGGGGGCGCTGCTTCAGTTTTTCCTTTAATGCACTGCGTCAAAGGAAAAAAAATCTCATGCAGGATGGCGAGGATTTGGGAGGGCGTTGTGAAAGGCAGCCCCACATTGGATGATTTGCTCACCTCTCTCGGCTTGTCTGCCGTGGAATGGAGGACGGGACCTGAGATGAATATGGATGAGATGAATGAAAGAAGCAATGCGAAAGCATTTCTTCGAGCCTTCGCGCTTGTTAGAACAAAGCATGCCGCTTTCTCGTGCAGCAGAAAGCAAGGAGTATGCAATGTTTATATCGGAAGCCATTTTGGTCAGGCAGTTGCTTGGACAGCCATGCAGGGAAAGTGGTCCTTTCATCACTCTACTAAAATTAGATGTTTAATATGCTTAAGCAAAAATGCTGTCAAACCCAATGATGAATTTGAAATCAAATGCGGTATAAATCTATTTGTCAAAGACTACAAATCAATAGCAAATGAAAACAAAAGACAAAATATTCTTTGCTTTGTGTCTGTTTTTGAAAGGCCCCCAATATAAGCTCTCAGGAACCTTCAATCCTCAAGATGACGTTGCTTATTCTGAACCACATCTCTTGGGAGTCTTTTGCAACCAATGATTTGTGTTTACACCATAGGTTTACAGCCATTGGTTTATTATAAATAATACCCATTTAGGCTTTTTTTATTAATTATTTTGACTGTTCAGTTAGTATCATATACATGCAAGATGAGGATTTAAGATATGAAGTTAGTTGGAAGTAAGAAAAACAGCATACCAACTTGTTCTTGTTTTGTTCCCAGTGTATCACAATGGGAGGGACTCATTTCCCTGCTACGGAAATGCGTGTAGTGTAATCCACTGATTTTTCTCAGCCAGGGCTTTTGTGTTGACGAGTGGAAATATGCTTGATCCAACTCAAACTTGGGCTGTAGATGCCTTTTATTCTGATATATGATTCAAGTTGATATAAACTTGTTTAAAGGAATATTCCAAGTTGAAGTTAAGCTAAATTGACAGCATTTGTGGCAATATTTTATGATTGACTGGTTCTTAATTATTATGATTTTTTTAAAGAAGCAAAAGCTAATGATTCACTTACAATGAAAGTGAAGTAAATTTAAAAGCAGAAACATGAAGCTTAATATAAATGAGTTCTTGTAAATTCCACAGTTATTTTAGGGCTTTAGACATTTCATGGCAACCAAAAAAATTGTTTATACCTGTACACAGAAAAGTTTAGTTAGCATGTATATTGTTTACGACGTTTGGCTATACTATTGAAACAGTGAGTATATCCATGTTTACAGGTTGGCCCTCTTTACTATTTTGTGTATTTTAAAGAAAATGAGTCATAAGTTAATCAATTCTTTTTTTGTGGAAATCAACATTATGCCTCAAGTGCTTGTTTTAATTGAGTTTAACTTGTATCGAACCTGAAATTTACAGTGCCATTCAATGTAGAACTAAGTGCCATTGAACATTGTTATCAGGTCATGTTTAATTTAAAATAATAACCAAGAAGTCATTATTATAAAGTTCATGATTACAGCATCTTGTATCTTTATCCATGACATCAACATTCACAATCACAAATTAGAACAGGAGGTTTGAAGGTAGACTCATGTTTCACTTTGTTTTGTTTTTCTATCTGACATTTCAACAAAGATTAATTTTCTCATTCACATTCTTTTAGAGAGATGCACCCAACCGGCCATCCACGATCCTCCATTTTCATCAGATTTTGTCGGATTTCACGGTAATGTTTAATTTTCTGCCCAAATTACATACAGATCTTGTTATCTGCAAACCAGAGTCTACCTTTAACTCTATAATGTTTTTTTTTTCATTTTATTTTTCTTTCATTGCATAACCACCACAATGCTTTGTAATATTTTGCTGCTCAAAAATTAAAGTAAAATATGTAACCTTTAAAACAGCCTAAAATTGTTATGAAAATGTGATGCTTGACTTAACATCTTGTGTCTAATGTGTTACATTAATTAGAGTAGATAATGTCAATTATAGCTGGTCTGGATGCATCCGTGATCCAATTCATGACAGACTTTTGTTAGATGCTTTTTGAAGAGAGAATACTTATGTATGCATGATACACATTATTTATGAACCCCACGCCATATTAATCAAGGTTAAATTTAGACTCATCCAAATCAAAAGGAGGACAGTCTTAGCTCTGTGAGAAATCTGGGTCATTGCAGAAAAGCATGTATCTGTAGTGTTCTGTAGACACAGTTTGAACCGCCTATTCATAATGTGTGAAAACAACAGCAATTTTTAGTATGTGAGTGAAAAATCTGGACTTGTCATTTAGAGCTGTTTATGAGCCTAGTTCTGAGTACATTTATTTATGTCGCAGTAAACCTCCATTATTCCCTTGTTGTTTATGTAACTCATAATCTGGTGGTATCCAGCACTAGTGTGGCTAAATATGAGACTTCTTTAGTTAGAGATCCGCTTCATTACACATCCAGTTGGAATGAGATTATCTCTAGAAGACTTAAACATTGTTAAAATCATCCCATTGCCTACTGTTAAAGGGATAGGTCACCCATAAGTAAAATACATTTCTGACATCATTTACTCAGCCTCATGTCGTTCCAATCCTGTATGACATACTTTCTTCAGTGGAACACAAAGTGTGATGTTTAGAAGAATTTCCAGGCCACTATGTTAAATGTAATGAAAATAAATGAGGACTGTGATTGGTCAAGTTTCAAAATGACAAAATAGCGTCATGAAAGTATCATAAAAATGGTCCATATAACTTGTGCACTATATTTGAAATCTTCTGAACTGAAGTCATAAAAGCTTTGTGAGGAACAGACATTAAAGCGTTAGCTCACCCAAAATGACTCATGTCGTCCCAAGCCCGTAAGACCTCTGTTTATCTTCGGAACACAGTTTATATATATAGATATTTAGATTTAGATTTAGATCTATAGTTATAGATATTTTAGATTTAGTTCGAGAGTTTTCTGTTCCTCCATTGAAAATGTTTGTACGATATACTGTCCTTGTCCAGAAAGAAAATAAAGACATCATCAAAGTAGTCCATGTGACATCAGTGGGATAGTTAGAATGTTTTGAAGCATCGAAAGTACATTTTGGTCCAAAAATAACAAAAACTAAGACTTTATTAAACATTATATTCTCTTCCGGTTCTGTTGTCAATCCGCGATCAGTGACACTGATGACGTAAGACGCTGCTGACGTGTTATCAGTGCGCCCAAACTTCATTTACAGTCAAGTCATTTACAATCTTCGCAAACATGTCTAAGGATTTCGACACAGAGTACGACTTGCATTCTTTTGCCCAGCCATATTTATTTGAACCCAAATACACGGACGCACCAGATAATACGTCATCAGCGTCACGTCACTGAACGCGGATTGACAACAGAACCGGAAGGCAATACACTGCTGAATAAAGTCGTAGTTTTTCTTATTTTTGGACCAAAATGTATTTTCGATGCTTCAAATCATTCTAACTAACCCACTGATGTCACATGGACTACTTTGATGATGTCTTTATTTCCTTTCTGGACAAGGACATTATACCGTACATACATTTTCAATGGAGGGACAGAAAACTCTCAGACTAAATCCGAGAGTGTTCCGAAGATGAACAGGGTCTTACGGGCTTGGGACGACATAATTTTTGGGTGAACTAAACCTTTAAGTCATTTTCATTGAAAAAGGAATTTGTCAAAATCATAAATTATGTCAAAATCATTAAGAATCATTCATAAAAACCAAGTTCACAAAACCAATCTGAGTGATTTTTTTCACGAATCAAATTTGAATTCAGTACTTTAGTTCAATTCACTGAATCTCTGATGCAGCCTCATCAGTGATCAGCTCAGTGGAGGAGTCAACTGTCAGTGAATTACGAATTCTATTTCAGTCAGTTCGTCACACGAACCTCCATTGTTTTTCAAGCTCAAAATATCTTCGGCCCCCATTCATTGTAATTTACATGGAAAAGAGAGATCAGTACATTATTCAAATTTACTCCATTGTGTTCCATGGAATACATTTAAAAAAATCAGTTACGGGGTCCCATTACGGGGTTACGGGGACATATCAGTAAAAAAAAATTATAATAACTAATTAATAATTCGTGGCCATGATTTACATCCATATATGATAGAACTATGTCTTTAACCTTAAAACAAATCTGCTGTGTTAACACTAACCCTCTCCATGATTTCCAGCTCAAAACAATCTGATCTGTGACGTCCATCTTGTTAACAGAACACTAACACTTCTCTTAATTTGGCTCACACGTAACTACAGACATGTGTCATTACTTTGTCAGTGATGCATTTAAGTCGGGCCTTCGACCAAAACATGCCACGCATCCCTGCCGTCATTGCTGTTGTTGGCTTGTTTGCATGTCCAGCTGCACTCTGAGATTAATACTCCATAGTCTATATCATTTTTACCCAATCATCAGTATTAGCATGTAGTTTAGCCTAGCCTGACAAGATCAACTGCGTCTCCAGAATAACAATCTAATCTAAAGTGGCCGTCTTCTGGGAGCCGACACAGATTAATTGTGGTGGAATATTAAGCGCGTACCCAAGCGGCCCAGGCAGAGGGATACAATGTCATGTTAAAGTCACGGTGTAGGGACCATGTACTGTGCTTCTGCTGACCTGGATATGCTGCAGCCAGGTAGAGCCCAACAATAGATGAAGCACTTTACTGCCCCAACGCTGCTCCACTTTCAAGAAAACCTTTGCTGACCTTCCTCTAGAGGAATGTCTTGTGCTATATTTTATGTGCCATGCTCTTCACTTGCTATAAACGGCTACTTCTACACATTACAGCGTCTACGTTGAAATGGAGTCTTTTGAAATTCACCCTCTCTTGCATTCATTTTGATTGACATGTTTAACAAAATGTACTCTCATCCCTTTCCTACTTGCATAACTTGTAATTTTCTTGGACCTGCACTGGGGTTTTTGTTCTGCTTTTGACTGTTAGAAGCCCTGCTTAACTTAAGCATTAATACTCGGGGTTCAGCTTTAATTACAACTCGTTAAGTCCACTGATCTTATTATAGTAGTCTTGTAGTTCTTTGCTGGTCTAGTATTTCAGCTGGACTTTTATAGCTATCTCGTCTGATTGCCACTTAGGCAAAATGTGCTTTTTCTCATAAGTCAGGTACTAAAGTGTCTTGCAAAAATGTGAATCTGCTCTTTGCTGCCGTATTTTATCACCGTGAGGACTTCAGTTTGCCAACTTGGTAATTGTTGGATATTTCTGATCAGCATATGGTACAGCTTTATGTCATACTTTCTTTTTTTTTTTCCAGATAACAATTCAGTGCTTTAGGTCATATGAAATAAAGCTATTTCAAAATGCACTACCAGCTAAAATGTGGATGCACTTTCTCATTCTTTATTACTTTATTTTACATCTCAGAATAATAACAGTAAAGTCATTAAATCTATGATGGAGCACAATTTGGAGCATGTGAATTATGTAGTGGCCAAAAAACAAAAATCAAAACAATCTTATTTTAGCTTCTTTAAAGTAGCCACCCTTTGCATAGATTACAGCTCTGCAGACTCTGGGCATTCAACCAAATTCATGAGGTGCCACCTGGGATGCTTTTTAAACTGTATATATTATTAAAGAAGTTCCCATATATCCTAGGCACTTGTTGACGGCCTTTCCCTTCACTCTCCCTGTAAAATTCATCCATTAAAAAAACTCATTCAAATATTAGGTGGTAGACATAACTTACATTTGTCTACAAAACTGATTGCATTTATTTAAGCACATGCATTTTTTTCAAACCTCAAATTTAAAAGTAGATGTCAGATTACATAAAAAGATTAAATCCATTGCAAATATTTGTAAATTTCAGATTCATGTTCAAAAAAATGCTAAAATCTATTGCAAATTTGTATTATTATTATTATTATTAGTAGTAGTAGTAGTAAGTATTGTAAATGTTAGATTTTTTTATTTTTATTTTTAAATCTGTTGTTTGTTTTGTTTTCTTGTTTGTTTATTATTGTTATTATTGTACATGCCAGATTAAGGCAAATCCATTGCGGAGTTAATTTTTTCTCGTTCTTTTTTTCCAGAGGAAGGCGAATATTTCTTAAAGGTGCTGATTCCAAGCTACGCCGCAGGCTCCATCATTGGCAAGGGTGGTCAGACTATTGTCCAGCTACAGAAAGAGACAGGGGCCACCATCAAGCTGTCCAAATCCAAAGACTTCTACCCGGGTAAGTCTCCTAATTCCAGAAAGCCTCGAAGGGAACCCTCATCAACCTCCTCTTGTTTACTGCTCTACTCTACCATCCAATCATTAACCGGCACGCATTTAAAGCACCTGGATTGCTTTATATCTTAATTAATTTATGCTATTAGTAACACATTACCAAAGGTACCTCGTTCCCAGAGTCACTGCGACTCGTGCCTAATGAGAATCATATGGGGTGCTGTCACCTTTGGGCTTGCAGCCACACCATATGGCCTTTATCAGAGCTCAGGTTGCACATAGTGCCAGATCAAGTGAGGACAATGATCTGAGAGACTCAGTACGGAGTTCAGTGCCGATACAATGTTTGAACGCTCCTTTTCTAGCACTATTTTTATTTAGAGAGAAGAAGAGAGATGTTTTGTGTCTGTGTGTGTTGGAATTCTTTCAGATGTTTTTAGGGATAGGGTGACAGTGGAAACGAGAAGTGGTGGGGGGCTTCTGGGCTCTTACTTAAAAGGGCTTTGTGAGATTTGCTCATCCTCCCAGAGTTGGCATGTCCAACAGGGCACCTCTGTCCCTTTTGCCTTGGGATGTAGAGCACAGAGCGATGGCCTGCCATGGCAGATGCCAAATGCAAGACACCTCCCCCCCTTTTTCATTGGTTTTGGCAACCTTGAGTGCTCCAATGTCTAGAGTGGGGGGTTGTGATGGCTACTGAATTAAGGGAGAGGAACGTAGGCGAGAAGTTGCCGGTGCTGTGCTAAGGTTGTTCGAGGTCTTAATGGGGGGTTCTTCCTCCTCAGTGAAGGGGGCATCTGTATGGAAATTAGCTTGTGCTTTTCCTTGGGTGCGAGTCAAAAGATCCACCTGCTGTGCTGCTCTCAGGGTGGGGAAGTAGGGAACTCTTTCCCCTTTCAGGAGATAAGTGTCCGGTATAACTAAATCACTGAACTGTTTTAGTAAGCACATCACATCTCTGAAGACATCATCTGTGATAGAAGCCCCACTGGCATTTAATTTTGGACAAAGCAGAGCTGGCCAGAGGCATCCATTATTTCTGCAGAATGAATTTATTAGTTGTCTTCGCTCCAAGTATAGCTCCTGCTGCATTTATCGGAAAACAGCCATATTTGTCAACAACATTGTATCTGTAAAGAACACTGTTCCATCTTAAAGACACCACAGGAGACTGCTTAATTAAATGTAGTTTCAAATGTTGTTGTCTATATCAATTAGAAATTCATGTAAAGGCAGAACATAAAACTGGATGTTACAGTGTCAGTTCACACAAAAATGAAAATTCTGTCATTATTTACACACCCTCATGTCTTTCCAAACCTCAATTACTTTCTTTCTTCTGTGGAATACAAAATAAACTATTTTCAAAAATGTCTGTGTGTTGGGGTCTAATGTTGTTTTGGACCCCATTGACTTTCATTATATGGTCAAAAATATCTATTTTTGTGTTCCATTGAAGAAAGAAAATCATTCAGGTTTGGAGCAACGTGATGGTGAACAAATGATGACGGAATTTTCATTTTTGGGTAAACTACTGTACCAATTTGTATGATGTTAAGCTAAATGTATTTTGTTGTCATTTTTATTAAATAGCACGCAAATTTATGCAAATGCATAAACGGGAAGTTAGACAAAGTATCCACTACTTAAGTATCTTTACTAACCCTTATATTCATCCAAACCTGTATGACTTTCTGTTTTCTGTGGAACATTAAAATATATATTTGATTAAAATGTCTCCATACTCCATTCAAAGAACATCAATGGGTCCAATGGTATTTTTTACCCCACTGACCTTCATTGTTTGGACAAAAACAGTTAAAATACATTCCTCAAAATGTTCTTTTGTTATCCACAGAAAAAAAAAAAAACAGCATGAAGGTGAACAAATGATCACAGAATTTTCCTTTTTGGGTTAATTGCTAAAATTTAAAGTCACATTTTAACGCACAAGACTCAATTTTTTTTTTCTCACAGCATTTTCAGATATTAGTCCAGAGAGTTGCATCATCCTTTTTTTTTCTTTATGATTGGCCAGCTCTCTTCCTCTCAGGTTTTCTGACTGTGTGGAATACTTTTAAATGTAATATTGAATAACACACTACAATTAAAATCATGTACTTTACATGTGTTTTAGTATGTTGTTAATCACCACATAAAAATCAGTGCACTTTAAAGTACGATAAAAGATATTTAATTTGACTCAGAATTTTCCTTTTTGGGTTAATTGGTCAAAAAGAAAAACTTTGAATTTAAAGTCACATTTTAACGCACAAGACTGGATTTTTCTCACAGCATTTTCAGATATGAGTCCAGAGAGTTGCATCATCCTTTTTTTTCTTTATGATTGGCCAGCGCTCTTCCTCTCTGGTTTCCTGACTGTGTGTATATTCTGACTTTTCCCTGTCCAAGTCACTGATCCCCATCCAGCCTCTGTCCCTTTCAGCAGTATGTAGCACAATATTAAAGCTCGCTCCTAATCTAGCACCGTGATTGCAGTTTTCAGTGTTTAATACCCAGAGAGCCATGCTGCCCTCCCCCACACATTATCAACATTACTGATTTCTCTGCTGTGTAATCTGATTAGACCTAAGCTTTGCGGCCAAAAGATGAAAAGCCGCAATATTACAAATCTAGGGGTAGAAATTTGATTTCTGTGTGTGTTTATATTATTTGTTTTTGCTCCCTTTCTTCAGCCTCATTCACTCACATTTTTATTTACGATGACCTTAGTGTTGCTTAGTTTAATTCAAGCTGAGTCGTCTTGTGAAAAAGAAGTAAACTTTAGCATTCTTTTACAAAGAGTACGGAAATAATGTACTTTAAAATAATTAAAAGTGAAAACTGAATGTAATATTTATAGACACTTGAAATTTTAGACACTTATAGACACTTTAAATTTAATGCAATTAGTTCAAGAGTACATTTTGACACTTGATTAGAACTTGCTTAATTAGTATATATTTAGATATAATTTCATAATTATTTTTTAAACAATTGTCTTTGCAATTTGGTTAAAGTGTACTGTCCAGTATCTATAGTAAACTAAAACGTACTTTAATGTAGTCATGTATTTTTTGTAATCATGTTTTTTTTAAGATTTTGCTGTCTAATACTGTACATTTAAAATACTTTTAAATGTAATATTGAATAACACACTACAATTAATTTAAAATCATGTACTTACATGTGTTTTAGTATGTTAATCACCACATAAAAATCAGTGAACTTTAAAGTACAATAAAAGATATTTAATTTGACATCTTTACAAAATAAAATATATAAATACTATTTGCAAGGACATAAACTTTTGGGCATTTATGTTTACAATGTTTCATGATATATCAAAGTATTTTCTAATTAACATCACTGTGGGTACCACCACAGAATTTTTTTTTGCAAGAGATTGCTAACACTTGGTTTATGACAGAGTTAGCCTTTATTGCTACTAAATTAGCAAATGTTAGCAAGTAATTATTTGACTTTTGTTTCTTTCTTGGATTTGGCCTGTGGATAAACTTAAACTCGCTCACTGCTAGTTGCTCACTATGCTACTTGAAATTGTCAACTCCTAAAATGTTAACAGGGCTATGTCTGAAAGCATGCACGTTCTGATTAATGATTCAACACATTTTAGTGCTTGTTAATCAGTCTGTAAGTCTGTAAACTCCATTAGTGCTATGTGCTAGCCTACATGCTAATTGTTTTTAGCACGTAAAAGAGCCATTGTCAGAGGCGGCTGGATAGTCGGCATCTGGGCTGTGGAGGAGATACGAGGTACCCTTAATCCCTGTGGCTTTGTTTTCTTATTCAGGCGCGTGACGTCATCTTCTGTGGCCGCTAGCCCTCAGTGCCAGCCAGTGCCTGAGACTCACACAGTCAAACCGTCTTATACAAAAGAGCCTTGCTTTCCAGAGCCAGTTTGACCCGAGTCTCATCATAGACAGTGCGATATAGAGAGAAACACTTAGTGAGGGGGATGACGGGAGTGATGGCGCAGACAGTGATCTTGAAAATGATGAAGATGCTAGGACATCAAAGTACATTTGTGATATAATTAGCATGTTGCCCACTTAGCCCGTTGACACTTCCAATTAGGTATGACTAGACCTTTTTCAGTGATCATCAGGAAGATCGTTAGAATGTGACTTCTTTCTTTCTTTCTTTCTTTCTTTCTTTCTTTCTTTCTTTCTTTCTTTCTTTCTTTCTTTCTTTCTTTCTTTCTTTCTTTCTTTCTTTCTTTCTTTCTTTCTTTCTTTCTTTCTTTCTTTCTTTCTTTCTTTCTTTCTTTTAAATTGTAACTTCATCATAACAAACATAATATTACAAATATATTTAAATTCAAGACATACAACTAACTGCATTTAATAGCTATCAAAATTCAAATACATATTTATTGCATTTCACATAATAATAAAGTGTCCGAAAAGTAAATTCTTTAAGGTACTGTATGTTATTGAAGGACTCTTTTTAGAAAAGCAAATGTGTAGATCTTTTTCACAAAGGTATCTTCCTGGTTACCCCCTCTCTTTCATTTCCCTTTCCTCTTGGGTGTTGTACTTTTGCTCCTGTAATGTGTGGCTTTTCCGTCAGATGTAATAAAAAACCTCAGAGGGACTTGCCATTAATAGAACACTGCAAATTTATTCCAGGGATCAATTTTTGCATCACGGGAGTGGTGCCGTGTCCTTTACTCCAGCCCTCCCCCTCGGCCGGCCACCATCTCTAGTGCATCTCTATGAGGCGTCAGTACAAACACTATTGATCGATCCTGCCTCTGCAAATAGACAGGATAAAGAATAAAATTCACCATGAGAACTGAAGAGAATAGCAGGTCCCTTCCTTTCAATTTTGAAAAGCCAATCTCCTTCCACCCAGGAAGTACACTGACTAAATCATTTTAATAATTTTCACCTCGATTCAATAGCTTTGAGAGGGGATGTGCGTTACAGAACATTAAAGTGCGATCTTTCGCATTACTGGCTTAGAAACACCGAGGCTTAC